AAATCCAAGTTCTTCTCAAATTGCGGTCAAATCGATATTTTCATCCCAAATTATATTTTCTTTATTATACTTGATTTATATTAATGAATTTAATTATAGTTTTAACTGTTATTTTTTCATTCATTTTCACTCGTGCATCGCACGGGCTTCTCCGCTAGTGTTATAATAAAACTTAGCAACGGCTACACTGACCCTTGATGACACCATTAGAAAGTAAGAAGCACGTAGCGGGTTCCAATAAAACCAACCAAATCAGGATTTCGGTCAAACTATTTCCTTTCTAAAATCGTTTCTCATATGATTTTTGTAAGTCATCATCATCGTCATATTCTCCTTCAAATATAATATTTTTATCTTAGATGGAATCTATTTTGTTTAGATGCATGAATATTAATGCGTTATGACAATCTTACCTGCCAAATATTTTAAAATTTCGAAAAGAACAAATAAAAAAAGAAAGATAAACCAAGTGGAATGGAGTTGATTAAACTGGTATTTTAAATTTCAGAATTGTAGGCTATTTCATACCTTGGATCCACAATGAAATACTTTAAAATTTTGGAAATTTTGAAACTTATTTTATTGATATTTGATAGTATTCTTATAAGACATTTCTTCTTTTTTATTAATTTTTATGCTATATTGCTATATGTGAATACTTTGGGAAAATAAAAAACCAAAATGCTTACTTAATATTTTGCTAGCATTAGACATTTCTATTTTAAAGCGTCAACTTATTTATTTTACCATAGAAACATGGCAAAAGTTAAATCCCTTATGACAAAGGAGCCATGAAAGTCATTTGAAGTATAAACTGTTATTTTGACGATGGGTAAAATTTTCACAATTTCTTTGAATTATGCTTGAGTATTAACTGTAAATGATTAGGTATATGTTTGGTATCGATGCTCATCATTTTGCGTGGGTTGGAAGCACTGTTTTCTGATAAAACGGTGTCTTTTTTTTTTTTTGTTTAGAAACGTTGTTGTCAGGTAAGACGTTTCCTGGAGCAACAACAACACTTTCTGTTTGGTACCAGTGCTCCATATTTATTTTCAACACTAGTACCCATTATAGAAAGTCCATGTCATTGCCACATCATGTCTCTGTTGGTAGCAATGGGCTCTAAATTGAAAAAAAAACATCGAATTCGGCGTTTCTCAAACTACGCCTTTTCGATTTTCAAGGCGTGGTTTGAAGCACCATTTTTTTATGGAAAATGGTTCCAAACATGTTACTGTTTTTTGGAGCGTCGATTTTTCTAATGTGACGCTGATGTCACCATTTTTTAGAGCAACGACATCGATACCAAACACCGGCTATATTAGATTGGCCTCGCTGCTGCAACCCAGCCTCTATCATCATTACCATCATCTAAGCTTAAATCATTTCTTATTAGTTTCATTCAAATATATATATATATATATATATATATATATATATATATATATATATATATATTCTCTAAATACCCATAATTCTTCTAACCCCTTGAATGCACATGGACCAAATCATTTCATCTACCTCCTCTCATTTTACACCTATTGAAGTTATTCCTAGGTTCCTCATTAAGACTTAATTTGTAATAATTTCTTTTTTAGTTTTATCATTCATTTATTAAGCATTTGTATTTTCATCATTTTTTCACATGTTTCAAGACTGTTTAACATTCTGTTTCATACAATGGCCATACAACTGTTTCATAGAATTTTCCTTCTAGCTAAAATAGTATTAACCTATTACATATGATTCCAAATCCACCTTTCCATTTTTCTTATAGGTGATATCATCTTCAATCTCTCCTACGTTTTGAATTATTGAATTAAGGTAAAAGAAGATACCACATAGAGTTATCTCTTGGTCTTCATTAATCCTAAATAGATATAGGCCACACTACTCAAGCATAGTGTGTCTGTTTTTATCTTAAAACATGTTGGGTAATGGCAAATGCTGACTAGGTTAGGCATTGTAGGAAAATTTCTACTTGAATCACATCAAAAACTGCCACTTTGATTTCAGCTGGTTGTGTTGTGAGATGTGATCATTGTACCTCAAATGGTCCAACCAAACACGTACGTTTTGTTAGTGTTTTACTTGAAACTTAAACATGGTGCTGATATATGGACTTGAAACAGAATCCCAACACCTCCATAGTCCATACCAAACATCCTTTTGAATTTTGAAGAAATAATCCACTGACATAGCTCTTAGTTGGCATCTTATGTGGCAGTGTAGAAATATATTTTAGAACCCCCTAAATCTTAATGAAGGTCAATATAGTAGTAGGGTGGTAGTCACATTAAGTATAAATTAAACATTTCATTTAAAATGTTTGATGTGGTTATGCCAAATACCAGCTCAAAACGTTTGTTCAATGCCTAATTATATAATCAACAAGTATAAACCAGAATAGTTTCATGCCAAAACATTGTTTTGTATTAGCATTTTAACATGAAATTAAGGACAATGCCTCTTTAAACTTTTGAGCTTCAAATGGTAATGGTAATGTTACCAAATACAACCTTAATCTTTTGGAGTCGATCGATCAGAAATGGAGAGGCCACCTATGAATTGAAATTGAGGAATAAGAATAAGAAACTTTGAGAAATGGGTATAATGCTTTGGGGATGCATCATGTTGTTTGGTTATTTATTGGTTATACAACATGACACGGAATCAAATCTGCATGTCTTGCTTCCTATTCCTTAAAAGCATATGTAATTCTTTAATAAAAAGCCAAAAATCCTTCTGGTGAGGAGATAAAAAAGATAAAAGGAAAATAAGATGGATAAACTAGAATCAAATCTATAAAAACAAAACAAATGGGGGCTTAGGCTTCAGAGGTCCTAGTGCTTTTAACCTCACGCTGCTTGCCAAATTATCATGGAGGCTTTGTTCTGATATCACAAGCTTATGGGCAAGAGTTCTAAAAGCAAAATATTATCTTGAGCACAATTTTACCCATGCAAAGCTCAGAAACCAACCTTCATGGGGAAGGAGGAGCATTTTGGAAGGAAGGAAAATTTTAAAAAAGAGTATTTGCTGGAAATAGACCTGTTCATGGGCCGGGTAGCTCGACAGGCCAACCCGGCCCCCGGACGGGCTTGAGCATGCATTTTAGCCCACGGGCTTGACCTCGGGCCTAAAATCCCGAACCCGACTATTTTACGAGTCAGGCTCGGGATTTGTTTAAAAAGCCTGGCCCGACCTATATGGCGGCCAAATGTGATTATTCAGGGGTTTTTAAATCCAGTTCTACAAGTCCCTTTTGTCTTTCTAATGTAGTAAATATGGGCTTGGCCTTTTGTAATGAGACTTAGTAGAATAGTGTGAGAGTGCCATTTAAACGTGGAGAATTAAGGGGACCCATTGCTTTAATTTGCTACAATCACGGGACTAAAGGAGGAACAAGGATAGAGGTGTTGTTTGTATGACGGTACCGGCTAAAAACACAACAAAAAATGAAAAAAGAAAAGCCAAAAGTTAGGTAGGTCTGTCTATCTGTACCCTACCCATACGGCCATACCCACAAACAAACAAACAAACCAAGACCCCTCTATATACTAAATAATAGGGTACCTTTACCTCAGCTATGGGCATATGGAATGTGGGTGCGTTTTACTCCTAGGCCCTAGCTAGCTTCCAATAAAGATGGAGTTAAAATAAACATATACCTAGGGATGTCAATAGACCGGTTTTGAGTTGGATTCGGTCTGAATCAAAATCCATTTGGATGGATTGGACGGACGAATATCACATATTGGATTGGACTTGGTCCGTCCATAATGAATTTATATTGGATTAAGCCAATATCTAGTCCATTGATTGAAGATAAGAATATAGATGTCAGTGAATCAGGCTTGAGTTGAAATCAATCTTAAGTTAATAGGAATTTAAACAGATTGAACAGTCTCTGGACCAGGTCCATTTGTAATGGACTCACATTGGACCGGATTAGACCAAATCCAGTCCATTTGACACCCCTACATATACATGTGTATATGAACCAGCTGGTAGTTAGCGTTGAACCAATATTAATGTTGAAGAGGTGGATGAATTATGTTATAGTGTTTAGCTCTATATCTATATTAGACGATAGTCCATTCCCAAGAAGAAGGGAGACAGAATGAGATATATGATAAGCCCAGCTCTGATTAGAATTACTCAATTACATGTATGTATTTGACAAACACTGTTTATTTTTTTAATACATAAATTAGCTATTAATTAATGTACCAAACTAATTCAGTAATGACGATTTTACCAACCAATCATCGATCATTTAAAGCCTGCTTATTTCAACTTTTTGGGGCCACACTACATGAATCCCGTTTCATCGTTTCTGTTCTGTTTAGTTTAGTGTTATGATTTCACATTGTGTACTTGGGATGTCCTGACTCCTCCTATCCATAATTAAAGGCGGTATTTAATTCCCTTCCCAGTTCCCATGATGCGGAATTTACAGCAATGACATCCAAGTTTGATTAGGAATTAGCTAGCTGACCGTACGACCGTACGTCTAGATGGATCATTAATTTAGAAACCCACCTGGAATATTTTTGAGTTTATTGGTTAATTATCAGCTAGTAATTTAGTAAACAGTGAAACAACAAGTAATTAAACATTTCATTCAGGGTCAATGGAGTAGCCTTTCAACTTTCAATTGAATTTCCCTTTAAATTAAATCGGCTGATGGATATCAACTTCAAGCTTCCACCTATATTAATTCTAATTAATAATTATATATATATATATATAATGCCTAAAAAATAATAATCCAATTAAGCTGCAGGCAGCCAAATAGAGTCAATATGAATTATGAATCCTAGCTAGCTATTTAGCTAACCCAGTTTAATTACACTTTGCACGCGTGTCATACAAATCTCGACCGACCCACATATTTGACCGTCAACACTACTCCTACTGTATATAATCCGAATTCTTCCCCTTAATTTGTACTATATTTTTAATATTATATGCATTATAGTATGAATCTTAAAGTCTACCTGCATACAACAACTACTCTTGAGGAACCAAGAGTCGGTCACAGAAGACAAAACCCAGCTACAACAACTACTACTACCACTGCGCTCCTCCTCTATTTCTTCTAATTTCCAATCTCCAGAACGGCAGCGACTACCTCCAGGCCAATTCGTCGGATTATTCATTCCTTCTTCCTTTTCCAGAAATGGGAACTGATGATGGCCGAGCAGCTCTTCCCGACACTGAGAGCGTCGGTACTGAACGCTCCTCCTTCAGTGGCCCTTTAAGCGGCCCTCTAAACAAACGAGGACGAAAGAGCGCGCGCTTCAACCTCCCCGAACCCATCTCCAGCGTCAGTCGTGCCAGCTGCAGCAGCAGCAACAATATCCCCGACGACGATGCCTACGTCGAGATCACCATCGACGTCCGCGGTGACTCCGTCGCCGTTCACAGCGTTAAGCCCGCCGGAGGTGAAGACGACGAAGACCACGAGCTCACCTTGTTGGCCAAGAACCTTGAAAAGAGATCCTCCTTTGGGTCCTCCGTGATGCGGACTGCTTCTTTGAGAATCAAACAGGTCTCGCAGGAGCTGAAGCGCCTTGCTTCCTTGACGACACGTCCATCTGCCACTCGGTTTGATAGGACGAAATCGGCTGCTGCCCATGCCTTGAAGGGACTCAAGTTCATCAGTAGCAAGACGACGGACGGTGCCGCTGGTAATGCTTGGCTTGCCGTTGAGAAACGTTTCGATGAGCTCACGGCTTCTACCAACGGCGTTCTGCCCCGAACCCTCTTCGGGGAATGCATAGGTAACAACGGCACGGCAGCCGGCAGGCAGCAACCTAATTAACAACGTTAATTTCCACCATAAATATATAATTAATTTGTCCGAATTAGTTACCTTGGGTGTTGGGTCGGCTCGGTAATTAAGAAGAACGTGTGAAACGATCGAGTCAACTCTGTTCCCTTTAATTAACTCTTTCTTCTTAAATAATGTTGTAATTATAATGTCGCAGGAATGAATAAGGATTCTAAAGAGTTCGCGGGTGAGCTTTTCGACGCGCTGGCTCGGAAGAAGGGCATCACAGGAGACTCCATTACCAAGCTTCAACTCCAGGAGTTCTGGGACCAGATCTCTGATCAAAGCTTCGACTCCAGGCTTCAAACTTTCTTTGACATGTAAATAATTAGCCACTCTAGCTAGTACTCTACTGACTCAATTATAAATTAATCTCTTCTCTAAGTAATAAATTTTAAATATTAATTTAATGCTCTATTGGGAAGCAGGGTGGACAAAGATGCCGATGGGAGAATAACCGAAGAAGAAGTCAGAGAGGTATTTCAGAATTAATAATTAAAAGGAATTCTTTAATTATATTTCTGGGTCGTCTGGGTACGTATTTAATTAAAAGAAAAGAGATAATTAAATCAAATATTACTAATTAATTCATATGTTTTGATACAGATTATCAGTCTCAGCGCTTCTGCAAACAAGCTATCTACCATACAGAAACAAGCCCAAGAATATGCTGCCTTGATCATGGAAGAGTTGGACCCAGACAACCATGGCTACATTATGGTAAAGATCGATGGATGATTTTTTTTTTTTTTTTTTAACAAAACAAAGTTGAATTGGACTGAATGAACATGAGCTAGCTGGTAGTTGTGCTTAAGTACTTAATAATTTTGAGAAATTAATGTTAATTTGATGGGGGGGGGGGTGCAGATTCACAATTTGGAGTTGCTACTGTTGCAAGCTCCAAATCAATCCATAAGAGGAGGAGAGAGTCGGAATCTGAGTGAGATGCTGAGCCAGAAGCTGAAGCCCAATGAAGAGAGCAACCCAGTGAAGAGATGGGTTGGAAAGATAAGTTGCAGGTTAGTGGATAACTGGCAAAGAGTATGGGTAGTGGGGGTGTGGCTGGGAATGGTATGGGGTCTATTTGCGTACAAGTTTATACAGTATAGGAAGAGAGCAGCGTATGAGGTGATGGGGTATTGTGTGTGCATGGCCAAGGGTGCGGCCGAGACACTCAAGTTGAACATGGCACTGATATTGCTGCCAGTGTGCCGGAACACCATTACCTGGGTGAGGAATAAGACCAAATTGGGAGTGGTGGTCCCGTTGGATGATAATCTCAATTTCCACAAGGTAATCGCGGTGGGGATCGCAGTGGGGACGGGAATTCATGTGGGAGCTCACTTGACGTGCGATTTCCCACGGCTAATGTCGGCAAGTAAAGAGAAATATGATGAGCTAATGGCGGCATACTTTGGGGAAGAGCAGCCATCGAGCTACTGGTGGTTTGTGAAAGGGGTGGAAGGGGTGACTGGGATTATAATGGTGGTGTTGATGGGGATAGCATTTACATTAGCCACGCCGTGGTTCAGGCGAGGCAGGTTCAACCTCCCACACCCCTTGAAAAAGCTCACCGGTTTCAATGCTTTCTGGTACTCCCACCACCTCTTCGTCATTGTCTACGCTCTCCTCATCGTCCATGGCATCAAACTCTATCTCACCAAGGAATGGGACAAGAAAACGGTACCTCCACTTCATCTTGTTTCTTTTAAATAAATTCTTAATATTAATTAATTATGATCGATCGAGTACTGATGATGCATGCATGGGCAGACATGGATGTATTTGGCCATTCCTGTGACTCTCTATACTTGCGAAAGGCTGATCAGGGCATTCAGATCAAGCATCAAACCCGTTAAAATCCTCAAGGTACGTACCTACTTATTTAATTAGGGAACCAGCTGGCTAGCCCATGCATCAAATCTTAATCAATAATGTAATTAATATTAGGGTTACAACTTTAAGTTAATAAGGGCCGGCTTTTCCTTTAGGTTGCTGTTTACCCGGGAAATGTGTTGGCGTTGCACATGTCCAAGCCACAGGGGTTCAAATACAAGAGTGGTCAATACATGTTTGTCAACTGTGCTGCGGTTTCTCCCTTTGAGTGGTAATTTATTAAATTAGCAAGTGTATTTTGTGATTGACTGTACATACTACATATTGTAGTGTAGACTGTACGTACAAGTAAGTACTCGATCAAATTAACATCAATAACATTTATATATATATATATATATATATATAGGCACCCATTTTCCATCACGTCGGCTCCCGGAGATGACTATCTCAGCGTTCACATCCGAACTCTCGGCGACTGGACACGGCAGCTCAAAACCGTTTTCTCTCAGGTGTGTCAGCCACCGACGGGGGATAAAAGTGGTCTACTTCGGGCTGATTACATGCAAAGATTGGGAACCCCAAAGTAAGTTTCTAACTTTTTATAAAGGTAAAAGGCTAATGTAATAGACTTACTTGGAGAAGATGAAAATGATATATGCCAACCTCTCTCTCTCTCGTACGTGCGCAGTGTCCCACATCCAATTATGGTTTCCTCCACTACTACTCTACTGGATGTCTGGACTAGATATATGGGGTTCTTTCTACTTCCACGTACGCAAAGAAAAAAAAAAAAGGGAGAAGAACTTAGAATCCATGCTCCACTGTATTTAATGAAATGTGTCGCCTTTGCATCTGCCTCCTTATCTTAATAATAATTAAGGACCCATGTGCCCCATGTGCCCGTACCCCCACCACCTCAACACTTTTCCTCGTCCTTTTAATATTTTGAGATGGAGAGCAACCCAAGGATAGAAAATATCTTTGCTTTAGTGAGAAAACTGTGATGATATTGGCCAACCCACCTTTGACTTTTTATCTTCTTAACCAATTAGCTAGGCTACGTTTGGATGAATTTTTGCCTTTAAGCTTTGAGATTTGATGTGGGAAAACAAAATTCTGAGTATTTTGGTAATAGTTGTTTTTAGAAATATAAAAATCTAACGTCAAAACACTTTTAATTCCCAAAATCACAAAGCCAAGCACAAAACTCACTTGGGCCTTGCACTTCTCGGCTTTAAAAGTTAGGGATGCAATTGGGTGGACCTAACCTGAGTCTAGACCGACTCAATTCATAATTTTATATAGACTGGGCTTGAATTTTTGGTCTTCAAACCAGGTTGGGCTCAATTTTTTTGGGCTTTTTTTATCTTCCAGTCTAGCCTTTAGGTAACCCAAATCTGGCCTGAGCCCAGTCTGACTATATACATTTACATATGGACACATAATTTACATGAATATTTCATACATTTGTATCAAAGTTGTGTGGAGATTGCAAACCCGTTCCAAAGGATCTCAGTCAGATTTTTCCCCCCTTCTTGTGTAGCCCCTAAGTTTTTTCCTATAAAAAAAGACTGATTGACCAACCCCGATCCCAACCTGGGCCCGAGCCCAATCTTCATCAATTTCAATTTCAATGTGGGTTGGGCCTGTTTGGACAGTTTGGACCTCGTGTTGAGACCTTAGGCCCAGTTCCTAGAAAGGGCCTGGATTGAGCTTAAAGTTAAAGCCTTCGCAACCTGTCCAATATATATATATATATATATATATATATATATATATATAAATGGATCAATAGTGCGTGCATTCTATTAAATTATTAATTAATATTAATTTAATCCAACAAATAATAATGATAATATAATTTTAATTCTATCATTAATATGTTGATGACAAACAGTTTCCCGAGGGTGTTGATCGATGGTCCTTACGGGGCGCCAGCGCAGGACTACAAGAAATACGAGGTAGTGTTGCTGGTGGGGCTGGGAATTGGGGCCACACCCATGATCAGCATTGTAAAGGATATCGTCAACGATATCAAAGCCATGGAAGAAGAGGAGGCGTCGACAGCTTTAGTTTTAGAGGCAGCAACCCCTCCTCAAAAGAGGAAAGGTAATAGCTTTAAGACGAGCAGGGCCTATTTCTACTGGGTCACCAGGGAACAGGGTTCGTTCGACTGGTTCAAAGGGGTCATGAACGAAGTGGCGGAGATGGACCACGAGGGCGTCATCGAGCTCCACAATTACTGCACCAGCGTCTATGAGGAAGGAGACGCAAGGTCGGCCCTCATTGCCATGCTTCAATCCCTTAACCATGCCAAGAATGGGGTCGACGTTGTGTCTGGTACCCGTGTCAAGTCCCACTTCGCCAAGCCCAACTGGCGTAATGTATACAAGCGCATTGCGCTCAAGCACGGAGATGCCCGAGTTGGTGAGTATTGAATAATGCCCTTTTTAATAAATTTAGTAATTTACACTCGGCATTCACATGCAAATTAATAAAATATTCTGAAATCAAATATTACTAACCTGTTTGATTTGATTAATTTGTTTACAATTTATGCATGTAGGAGTTTTCTACTGTGGAGCACCAGCACTAACCAAGGAGCTACGGCAGCTAGCCTTGGACTTCTCCCACAAAACGTCCACCAAATTCGATTTTCATAAAGAGAATTTTTGACTGAACGGGCGCATGAAGATTTGGAAGCTCACCAACCGAACATCCAATCCCTTTATTAAGTAATGGAGGAAGCTATAGCCTATAGTGCGACCACCCCCTCCCCACTCAAATTATTCAAATGGGGTTTTGTAGGTGAACGTAAAACGCGTTGAGTCTATTTGTAATTTGTCTCTATATTTACATTGTAAATAGGAAGTTTAACCAGTTAGCTGATATAGTGGCCCAAGGCCAAAAACTGCAAGTCAGGAACTCTTCTATTTCCTGGATACCGGATGTAAATAACTATATTTCACTATTGTTATTATAATATAACTCTTCTACTAAATTACTACATTACGGCTGCCTTTGGCATTGCTTATCAACAACTCTTATGTTCAAGGAGATTTTTTGTATCATAGTCAAATTCAATTCACAGGTAAGAAATTGTGAGTCAAGGGATATATTATATATTTTAAAATAGTAGATGGTTAGTCCCGAGTTTTCCAAAATAATTTATAAAAGACTTGTACAGTTTTATTATGAATGTAATTTACATACTTACAAAGGACTAATAGCTACTAATAAAATTAAAATCGGTTTATGTTGTGCTTTTATGGATGGCTTTTTGAAATTCGTTAAGATTGCTTATTATACTATTAAAATTCTAATACGCACGTAGAAGGAAGATGGAGAGATAACAGATGACAAGAACAAGGAATAGTTTCCATCCATCCCTCTGTAGTCTCTAGTTTCTAGTCTGTCCCTGTGGATAGATTTAAAAGGAGCTTCTGCTTCTGTGTTACAAAATTAACTTTTTCTACTCCCCCTGCCAAAAAAAGAAAGAAAAAGAAAAGAGAAGCTAGGTCGTGAATCTCGTGATGCATCATGGATGGTAGAGAATAGATCCTAACACCGATTACTTTTTGTTAACGAGGAATGGTTTCACATGATGTGCAAGTGAATTGGAAACTTATGATAAAGGAATTGTGACTGAACATCTGGCCTCCTATGGCTTTGTCATCACTCATCAGAATTGATGAAGGTATTTTCTGGGACTGCATGTTGTACTTGCAATATTTTGGGGGGAGTCATTAAGGCCAAACTCTTGGCAGTTTATTTTTCTATGGCGTTTGCTAAAAGTAGTGGATTGAAGAATATTTGTAGTTGAAAGAGTCTTTGACTACGGTGCAGCTGGAAATACCATGGTCTTTTTTTTTCAATATTTTGGATAGTATTTTATGGTATTGTACAGATTTTGATCATGTTATGTTTAATCAAGTGGAATGGGATGAGCTACAAACAAAATTGAGTACAACGGGCCATGGGTCCATTCAAGAGTGAACACGCCAGTGTTCTGTACACTGGAACCCACACCTTACGTATACAGAACATTGGTGTGTTCACTCCCGATTGGTCCCATAGCCCGTTACGCATGACTTTGTAGCCCATCTGAATTCTAATCATTTTTTTTTTCTTTTGATAGAAATCGAATTCCAATCAATGTGAAGAGACAGGGAGATAAAGCTCCTCATATAGTTGCTCAGAAAGTTAAATTTGTAGGTGCCACCTAGCTGGTGAAGTCTCTAGTTGATTGTAACAGAGACCAGGAATTGAGTTCGACTTATATATACACACACACATCCATACCAGTCTCAGGAAGCTGGTAAAATTGGTTTTGATGACATTTACATACAAAATAAGCCAGAAAATGAATCAAATATTTCTGCATTTGTTTATAAGATATACAAAAACTTTATCAAAAAATTTGCCACTTGCGCACACTAAGTCAACCAGTGGTTGCTCCATCACTTGCCCAACAAAATAAATAAATAAATAAATAAAGATAAGAGTTTGGAAGTTATGTGGATTTAGTGTCCCTCCTTATTGGCTAAAAGTTGTTTTATCATATATGATTGTGTTCTGAATCTTCCTTAAACACCCCCCCCCCCACACACACACACACAAAATAAATAAAAATATCAAGTAGCAATTTGTACTAGACTACTAGTTAGTGGCAGGGATCAAGGCAAGGGTCCCTCCGTCTATTTGGATTGGAGACGGATTTTCCAAAGCTCTCCAAGGCTATTTATTTGGCAACTTTCCACTTACATCTAATTTCACTTTACCCACTATCAGAATGAGGCCCACAATTGAAGTGGAACTGAAAATAAATCAGTTTTTTAATAAACCAGTTTGAATTCGTTATATCCATGCACTATTATAGTAATAAAAGCTCTGCTAAAACATAAAAAGGAAACCCCAAAACTGGTTTTCTTTTGGGATAATAATGAATACAAAAGTAGCATAGATTTTTCCATGGCATTTCATTCATAGATGTGATCCATTCAAAAAAGCACAAGTCTAGAGCCATATATACAGATCAAACATGCTTCAATTTGATCATGTGAGTTTTAACCCATTTGTACGTACCTTATTGGGCGAATGCCAGAAGGGAATAACGACTTTGGATCCGCATAGTCGTATGGATTTTTCCATGGCATTTCCTTCATAGATGTGATCCATTCAGAAAAGCACAAGTGAAAGACTCTAGAACCATATACAGATCAAACATGCTTCAATTTGACCATTTGAGTGTTAACCCATTGGTGCCATTCTGTAAAAAGTCCTCCAATAACATTGGTCCACCCAAAGAGAAAGGGATCCTTGGGACGTCTCTATTTTTTTCCTCTCCAACTACCATGAACAAGACTAACTTCAATTGCTCTGCCATTTCCACCCTCTTTTCATGTTGCAAGTTGCAACTTAATGGCCCTTAGCAACATTGTGCGATAAGAGTTCTTTTTAACTAAAGAAAATACAATAAAGTTTTGAGGCAGAGAACCAGAGAATAATATGCATAAGGAAACTGACTAGCAAAACCAGTGGGTCCTCATCAGATGGATTGATTTTACCATCATCTTAGCACCCAATCTCGTGGAGAACCCTTGCTTATAACATACCTATTATGTTTTGAAACCACCGTTTTCCCCAACACATGTAGGGTTCACTCAATAGTGTAATGGATCATGGCCAATTATGTCACTAATTCCAAGACCTAAGCAGCCAACCCAAAGCCAAGGTAGGTCAGTAGCTGCTTTCTGATTATAGGTTATAGCCGACTTTACATTATGGAGGAATGCATACACCTAATCTATAAGTCATGCCCATGTAGGCCATCCAAGTACCAAGAGCAGGAACCAAGTAGTTGATGGTGGGCCACATATTGTTATTTGGTGGACATGGATAGTGATTTTCCCTTTCCAATTTGTTAACTCATACACAGGCCATAACAGCATTCAAAACGTGAAGGGTTGAAAAGGTAAAAGCTGGAAAATTCAGTTGGCATAAATGTAACTCATACCCCTATTCACGTGTCTTTGGGCTTTCTCAGCTGCAGTACACAAACAGAAACTCGTCTTTATTTTCTTTTCAGCCTCTGAAAAATTGGCTTCAGTGGTCGGGTTGATGCAGAACCTGGACCTGTTGCATGATTGGGCCCAAAAGGAACAACAGGTTTCTTCAACAGTACATGTCCACTTGTGCTTACATCACTTGTGATAACAGCCCAAGCCGATCTCTTTTTCAACCCTTGTGGACATTCTAGTCTTTCTAAAATCCTTGAGGTTTTATCATCCAATGTTTTATTACCATCTGAGGGTGACAGAACTGATTTCTCCATCTTGGGTTTAGAAAATCTAATGGTGGAACATTGCTTAGGAACTTCTTCAACAACCAGTTGTTCCCATTCTTCTGTAATACAAGCAGTAGACTTGCACTCATCTTCTTTAGTGTCCTCAGATTTGTCATCCCATGTCTCATCCCCATCTGGCAGCAATACAACTGATTTCTCTATCATCAGTTTGGAGAGCCTAGTGGGAGAACATGTCATCAGTTGTTTCCGTTCTCCTGTAACACAATCAGTTTTCACACTCGTAGCTTCTTTGGTACCTTGATAATTATCATCCAATGTACTGATACCATCTGATGGCAACAGAACTGATGTCTCCTTCTCAGGTTTGCAAATCCTAGTATGGGAATATGCCTGGGGAGCTTTGTTAACAATCAGTTGTTCCCATTCTTCTGTAACACAGGAAGTATTCTTACTCTTGTTTTCTTTAGTGTCCACTTGATTAGCATCCAATGTCTTATTACTATCTACTGGCACTAGAACTGATTTCTCCATCCTGGATTTGGAAAGACTAGTGGGGGAACATGTCTGGAGGACTTCATCATCAATTGGTTGTGCCCATTCTTCTGCAATACAAGCAATAGTCTTACATTTATTGTTGGTGGCCCAATGTCTATCATTCAACGTCTTGTTACCATCTGGTGAAGATGGAACTGATTTCTCCATCTTGAGTTTGGAAATCCTAGTGGGAGAACACATCTGGGGGACTCCATTGACAATGAGCTGTATACATTCTTCTGTAATACAAGCAGCCATCTTGGTCTTATTTTTTTTGGTATCCTGAGTCAGTAATGAGGTATGGCGGTCTTCTATTTCTAAAGTTCCTTTCATTGATGATGTGGATACCATTGTTTCTGAATCCTTTGTATTGGGAGAGTTGGACTCAGAGCTTGTTTCCTTCTCTTTTGGTGGTAATGACCTGCAAAACTCATGCTTCAGAATGCCATGTTTCAAAGGAATGACTTATAGAACTGCTGTTTCTACCGTGTTTAGTATTTTTCTCAATTTTATTTGGAGACTAAATGTGGGACCCAGACAGAAAAAGTTGGATCATCATAGTTCTGGGTAACCATAGTTATATAAAAGAAAAATAAAAAAACTACTTTAATTGCCTCCTCAAAGCAAACCACAGACAAACTGTTTCATAGAAAAAGTGATGAAAGTGCTTGAGTAATGACAACAAGAATGTGAGAGGAGATGAGTTATCTCATTAGATGCAGATCCCTAAATAACATGCTGCAACTATTTTTTGTCAACTGAGTTTAGTGCAATGAGGTATATTTAATCATTAATATATTGTGGTCTTGCCTGAAATCAGAAGATGCTCCTGCAAAATATAAACTCAAAGTTAAGGAACTCTCTAAGAAGAGAGGGGAATATTAAATATACAATATTAATTCTAGTTTTAGTTTATCAGTTAAAGACTATCTGACAATGAAAGAACTTACCCAAATTGTAAGCTCTCTTTTATGAGCAAGTCCAACTTTGTATGGAAACCTCTCACATGAAGAAGAGGGTTGTAGTCTCTTAATTTCACCTGAAAGAAAGCCATGAACAAAAACTGCTTAAATTTTTTCCCTAAATATTGCAGAGAAATTAGCCACATAATTACAAAGTTTCTAAAATTAGGGATACCTCATTAGTTTTTCCCTACAATAACCTTAACTGCAATTTGGAGGCACATGGATTGGATGGTATACATCTCCTGACTCCTATCGAATGTTCTATTGTTCTTCAACCAAGAACCACACAGTATACTGGTATATTTGGTTATTTAATCCAATAAGAACCTTGGAATATCTTGTCATGGTATACCACTTCCCTTTTACAATATTAATTCCTTAATAGGTCACTGCACCATGGTGAAATCTGCTTAAAACTTCCTCGTAGGAATATGAGTTTTTTCCTTTTTTTTTTTTGTGTGTGTGTGTGTGTGTTAGCTTTGTAAGCATCAAGCCCAACAAATGCAAAGCAAAAAGTCATTTGAAATCATGGAAACAGCATATTAGAACATAAGTTCCTACCTCTAACAAAGAGGCTTGAATGGATTTCTCCATCTCCTTGGGTACTGCAGAATTTTTTGATCCAGCTGCGTCGGGAACAGGCATGATTTCCTCTGCTCCTGCAAGCCTCTGAAAGTTACACACACACACACGTTAGTAAACAAACATGATAGGAAAATACAGAGGTAGCCAAGTAAAAGAGAAGGAATCAGAATACCATTCTACAGAATAAATAAATGAGGTAAACAAAATTCATGGCACAGGTTACACTTGAGGATGAGGATTTACCCTGAGAAGCATTGGCCCCTTGTCTGAAGGTTGAAGAAGATAAAAGCAGTTTAAAGTTCCCTCTTTCATGGTTTCAATGTTACAGTTTGAAGAGCAAACCAACCCCTGATCCAGAGAACAAAGTGCTTGTCGAAGCCCTTGGAAAACTGCTAGCAAGGCAGAGGACAGAAATACACAAAAGACCATAAAATCCATGCTAAGGACTCAAAAAGAAATTAAAATAAATAAAGAAATAGCTCTCTTCCAAATGAAGAAATTTCAAGAAAAAAAAAAAGACAGCACAAATCCAAGAGTTCAGGTGGTATGAGACATGTTAGAGAAGAGTTGAATCCCTTTATAATTTAACCCCCTACAAAAATAACCACACCAGAAGTAGGAAGAGAAAGTTAGGCCATTTTACACACATTGAGTATTCAGCTCTGACTTGTCACACTCATCAGAAGTGGCTTCCATATCATGGTAAGCTGAAGGAGTGACGATATAGGAAATCCCAATTATAACACCTGTTTTTTTCACCAAAAGAGGGATTAGTAGGATTACCTATGTGAACAAGTTTATTGCTCAAACATGTCACTGAATTGCACAAGTCTTGCACCCTAATTCTGAGACCAAAGTCATGACATCAACATAACCCCCAGCTGGGAAAAAAGGGTTTAAAAGACAATCATGAATATTTATGAAGTATTGCATTCATTTATATTGAATCAGATACAGGTAGGACCAAATTTGATTCATTTATATTCAAATTCAAATCAGATGGTATCCATCAGATTTATATCAGATTCAAATTGAGTTCAGATTGCAAACAGATATTGAATAGAATAAAAGGAATCAAACTAAAAATGACTTTGGTATTGTGTTCCATAAACAAAATGAATTGAAAATTACTTGTATGAAACTTGAACCTATGACAATTAGTAAAAATACAGCACTCAAACCAATTTTACTAATAGATGCAATATAAATCAACTCAGATAGGGGTAGTTCCATATTCGATCCAATTATCAATGGACCAAATTAAAATTCAGACAATCGGATACCATTTTCAGCCAGAGAGAGAGAGAGAGCGCATAAAAGAGTTACCCTTAGAAAGTTTAAAAGGACTACCAGAAAATTTGAGCAAAAGCAACAAACTTCATATCCAGAATTACCTTCACTAAGAGCACTTAAATTGGTTCGCTCAATAACATTGAAGACAATAGGTGAAGAAACTTGGTGGAACTTTGGACAGCTTTCAAAGGAGGGCAGGAACAAGATTGTCTGTTCACCGACCTTAACTGCATTTTCAATTAAGTCGGATGTTCCAAGCTCACGAAGTGTGACTGGACAAGAAGCACCCTCATTTGCACTATTGCCAATGGCACCACCCAAGGGCAAAGCATGACACCTACATGCCTATAAAAAGGAATCACAAATGAGCAATGTTAGACTCTGCTCAGATGTTGATTTATTTGGCCATTGGGCACAGATCAAATGAACTGACTGCCCAAACTCTCTCATGAAAACGATAGATAAATAAACACAAACATTTTGGATAATCTTTACACCTGCTTTACATTACAACAAGGTTAAAAGGTACAACTACCAGAAAAAGTATTTAAGGGAACTTTGATCAAGTCAACATTTTTGAAAACCAGCATATCAAGAACCTCTTTGGGATTGGGTATGAAAATACTGTCACCAATAGAAAATGTTACTGATATGGGAATAAAAATGGCCCTACAACTAACCTAGGAGTATTCTGTTTTTCCTTTCTTTTGTTTTTTTTATGAGTAATTTTCTGTTTTAGGAGTGTTTTGGTCATTTTACTTAGTCAGTGGGGTCTAGTCTAATAGTCATGTTATTTGGATCTTATTTGAGTTGTGTTTGAAGTTTCAGTCATAGGATAAGTAGAATAGGAATCAAGATGTTTTCTTTGAGCTCAATTTTGCAAGTTGCAGTTCTGTGTTTTTTGTAAACAGTGACCCGAGTTCTATTATCTCCCTATAAATATATCTTGCCGTGTGCCATGTTTCAAGGAGAGAAAGGATAGAAAGAGTTTTATGATGTAGTGCAAGTATTCCTTGTGTGCTTCTCTACATGAAGCACTGAAGCTTTGTTCTTTCTTTTTTTTCATTTATTTTCCCTTCTTTCTATATTCTCTCTCTTCTCTTTAGACTCTCTATTGCAGGTTTGATTAAAATCTTCTGGTCAACATTTCTTTCAGCTCTCAACAAGGCTTCATGTCCCTCCTTGTGGCCCTTCAGACAATCTAAGTAAGTTTCTCTTTCTCTTTTTTAGTTCACTTAGTCTTAATTTTTCTCAGTCCTTTTATCCTTAGAAAAATTTTCTCTTTGTGAAAGATCAATTCAGATCCCTCTCAATTTTTTTCCTCCCTTATTATTTTCTATTGTAATTCACACTACTAAGTTCCAACCCAAAACTCTAAACAAGATTCCAATTCTCAGAATTTTTGGATTTTCCCTCATAAATGAGAATTTTTTTCAACTCCACCAGTGTGAGCTTGTCTTACGCCACTAGTGCCAACGCCAGATAAAGAAGGGGGTTGCAGATTGGCAGCTGGCATTAAAACTTTTGACACTCTTATGGTTAAGGATCCTGAATTGTCTTCTCATGCTCATGCTAGGGTATCACTGAAAGCAACGTGACACTCATAATTTAACAACAGATATGGTACTAACAGAACAGAATAGCAAAACACGATTCATGTAACCAACCCCAGATGATGATGAAATGAGATTTTTTTGTCTTTTTGTGACCAAACTACCTAGAATCTCTTCAAACTAAATCACCCATACATAAGTCTTTACCTTTTTGTAACTAGCATACAAATGAATGAAATATTCTTTTATTTGAACCCCAAAGTACACTTATCAAAAAAAAAAATTAAGTACAGTATCTTGTTGTGTGGGGGGGTGATGTGCTCACTGGTTTGTTAATACAATACCTTACTGTTTCAAAAGAAAATCATAGAAAATTTCCATCCCTAGACTTAATTTCTTGGTTCTTGCAAATTTCATCAGTCCAAGTAGAAATCAACAAATTATTAAATTTCACCTAGAAACCTTTATAGGTCAACTTGCAAATCTTAGATAGCTCCAATGAACTATCCTAAAGGTAAAATTCAACTTCTTGAGTCATTCTTTTAAATTTGCAGCCTACCTAGTTCCCATAAGACTACCTGTCCTAGATCCAGTTTCCTAACAAATCTTCTCTAAATTATTTTCTTTCAAAAGTAGGTGTTTTATTCAAACTAGTTTATTAATTTTGAATTTAATTAAGCATGATCATGACATTTTTAAATTGGTAGGCATGTACTTTAAACAATGCTTATAGACTATCCAGATACCTGTGCATCGGTGCTGTATGGAATTCTTAATTTTAGTATAAATTTTCTATCAGACACCTTGTCCAGTCATGTCCCTGTTGTATCTGGGTTACAGAAGTTATAGGACATGCCAGCCTATACAAAAAGACAATGCAACAAGAAAAAATCATTAGCAAAACTGTCTAATGAACATGCCACCTCAGGTAGTAGGAATTTCAAATCATGAAATACTCTTGGAATAGTTAGGGCCATTTGATAAGAGCTGAAGTGGCTGAACGGAATGACTTTTTGCTTTGTCTTTTAGTGAATAAATCATTAAGGAAGTTGTGAGCTCTTTAACAGCTGAAGTTTAAGCCTGCATTTCGCAGGGCTTTTCCCCTCTAAATGGGCTTTTTAAGAAGTGCCTTTCTTATAAGCGCTTCTTGAAAAAGCACTCATTGAGCACTTGGTAAGGTGCTTTTTTGGGTTATTTTTTCTTCTGAAAAAAATGCACTTATTTAAGAAAGGGAAGAATGAGGAAGAAGAGCTGGACAAGGGTTTTCTCTCAACCAGGGGCAACTTGGCATTTTTGAATGTAAACAGGCAAAGACAGAAAGAAAAAAATGAAAATGCACTTCTGGGAAATGCAAGAAGCGAGAAGCCGTCCCTCTACTGCCTTTTCTAATGGGATTTTTCACCAAAAAATTCCCATTTTCTGTGTTTTTTCTACCAAGCGCATTTTTGGGGTTCTTTTGGCTTCTTGAATGTAATAATCCCAAAATGCGCTTATTAGAAGCCCCTCCAAACACAGCCTAAGTTGGTTTGATGGCTATACCCTTAAATAGTTTATTATGGAGTATATTACAGATAGCCACTTTGTACTTAGGGGTGGTAACACTTAGCCCCCCAAACTTTGTTTTGTAACAAAGACCACCTAAACTTCTAGGTTCCAGCACTGGCCCCTGACCCAGTAACAAGGTTTGTCGTAAAAGTAAGATTACTAAATTGCCCATTCAAGATTTTATGGGCTGATAGAAATGAAGATCAAACTGATGAAAATAACCATTCTAAAGTACAAATCATTCTCAAAGCATTGATGAATCAATAATTTTCAAGGCGTTCTCAAGATGAATTCTGTTGAAAGAAAGTTGAGAAAAACATGCAAGATTTCAAAGGGCAAAATGGTCTCATAAAATAGATACAGGTAGTTTGGAGTTCTAAAAATGCTTAAAGAAATATTCCATGAAATTGACCAACAGAATGCTAAACGTGGGGGGTTAAGTTCTGGAATCCAAAAGTTCAGGGGATCTTTGTAGCAAAACAAAGTTTGGGGGGCTATAAGGCACAACAGCTGAATTGCAGAAAACTGATAGTGGAAGGTGATTCAAAGTCGGTCATTGGCTGGCTGCAAAGGGAAGAGATTGGGTTTTGGAAGTTCTTGAATGAGAAAAAGAAATTTAACCAGTTGACCCAGGACATGGAAGTCAAGTTTCAGTGGATTAAGAGAAGTGCAAATTCATCTGCAGACTCACTTTCCAAGCAAGGGATGGGAAGAGAGTCTTTTTTGGGCAATGTTGTAACATGTATATGAATTTTGGGGAGGGCTAAGAGATTTTACCCCTCCCTCCTTCCTTCTTTACTCTCTGCCGTTTTCTATTAATAAAACTTCTGCTATTATCCAAAAAAAATGTTTGGAGGGCTACGTGTCAAGACCCCTCAAGTACAATTCATCAAAAAAAAAAAAAGACCACTTAAGTACAATGTGGTTATCTTTAATTTACCCTTTATATTAATGATTGTAACCACTAAAAGACAAAACAACGAGGCATTCAGTTCAGCCACTTCAGGTGTATCAAATGGTCCCTTAGATTCAGAACAAAGACAGTACAACCTTGAGGCCTTAAGTTATATGTTGTTCTATTGTAAGTAAATATAAATTCAATAGTGTCTGTGGTCCTACATCATGACCCAATTTAACGATAGTCCATACCGATGGGAATTTACCTAGAATCACCTAATTTCAACAACATTTCAGTTGTATAATATAACCCAACCAAAATTTTAGGATAGGTAATCATGCATATACTAAGCTGAGCACTTTAAACTATGATACTTTCAAGCAGATTAGGACATATAGTGGACACAGTGTCAGGACAAAAGGAACAACTCAATATTCCTTATCAACATGAGCACATCATTGACCATCATCAAGATATTATATTCTTTTGCATAGTCCAAAGAGAAAAATAACAACAAAGGGAGAACTTAGATTTGAATTCAATTAATGAGGTTACTTCTACCAATAATATCTTCAAAAGAAGAACATCACATGGTGGATGATTAGATAATATCACAATCTCTATGGACTAAAGAACGTGAATCCTGCACCAGAAGATATTTCAGGATTCACACACAGCAGAAATCATGATTAGTACCTGGCACGAGCTGAACCCATCAATTATTTGGTTGACAGAAGAAAACAAATGGCAAACAAGCCGATTTGTAGGGCCTATGATATTGCTCTTGAAGATAAAAATAGCTTGTAATGGGTCCTCTAGGTCACCTTTGAGCTCTTGTAGCCAACGTTTGACCAGGCCACACAAGACCCAGTTATCTGCACACTCATTCAATTGTTCCTTCTTAATATATTGATACTAGGCAAATAACTAGTCACTATTTATGGTGGCTTCTATGTCCCAGTGCTGGCAATCTACAACAAGTTTACCTTTATGGTTTTGTAACAACTACTATAACTATGCATCAATGTATTTGATTGAGAAAAAAAATCCATGGTAATCCTTGCATGGACTTGCTTTCAGTACCTTCTATGCAAGAGTTAAGCACAAGAAATAATGGATGTATTCAAGAAGCCTACCTTTTCCCAACTTCATACACTATGATGCACAGACATGGACATGGGAAAATGGGGAAAAAAAAGGACATGGATACAAGTATGTGGTATAACCCATTCCCCTCAATGGTCACCAGGTGATTTCCATCTTTGAGCACATACTCAACTCAAGTTAATTAAGCCTTATCCCTATTATATGGGGTCAGCCACACAAATCCTGTTCTGCCATCCCACTCTTTTCACTGCCATATTCATAATTAAATTTGGGGCCCTCAAATCACTTCTTTCTACTTCAAACTGTGTCCCTTTTGGTTGCCCCTAGCTCTTCTTAACTCTTCAACTTGTAAGAGATCACTTCTCTGGTGTTCTTTTAAAGATCATTATCACTTAACTGATGTTGAAGATGGCCTTCTCTGCATGTCACCAAAACATTTAATCTTTCCCTCACATTTTCACCTATTGGACCTAATCATAGGTTCTTATGAATAAGTTCATTTCTGAGCCTCTCCTTTATGGTTTTCCCACTCATTTTTTTGGACAAATAGACACTATATTTACATATTCCATTTACCCCTGTAGCTTGGAAGAATTCCAAAATATCCCACTCAGAGTGAAGCTGTTCCAACATTGTCCCATTTGAAGCTAGGAATAACTCCAAGCAAAGCTAACTAAAACAAAATAAAACATCATTGCCTAGCAAAAGCGTGCATGCATGCACACACATAAACACAATGAAAATACAGAAATCTTATCTAGAAACCTGAGCAATGAAGTAGGCTATGCCACTGATCAAATACCTATACCTATGCACTCAAGAAACCAATTGAAGAGTTAGAAGTTGAAGGGGCTAGAAGAACTAGAGGAAGACAGAAAAGGGCTTGGCTGAAAGTAGTAAGAAGCGAGTTAAGTGTCCATAATTTAACAATGGATATGGCACTGAACAGTATTTAATGGCAAAATAGGATTGAGGATTCATGTAACCAACCCCATATAGTTAGAATAAGGCTTTGATGATGATGATATAGACTGAAGAGTTTAGATTGCCATTTGCCAGGTTCACCATTTGACAAAGTACTACATCTAACATATTCTTTTGTTCATTACCAGGAAGACAGGTCTGAAAAGAGCAGTTCTCCAGATCAGAGATACTGTTGATGAACTCCTTGATATTCTCTGAGATATTATTTTGGATAAGTTCTTGCTCCAGTAAAACAAACTCTACTGAAACGCAATTATCTGCTGCATCCTGTTGTTAAAAGCTCAAATGCCATAGGTTAACTTAGGTTGAGGCAGTAAAAGAGGCAACAGACAAGGGAATATAGTAAGAAATTGGAACATACTGTAGTAATTATCACTTACCATAAGAGTCTTCCTCGTAATAGGGCTTATGATTTCCACCAAGCAAGAACTAATGAAGATCACTTTCCTCACAATATCTTTACTACCCCACGAGTACAGAACTTTGCCATTTAGAAGCTTTTCAAGCATAACATCTGTTAACATAGAAAAGTCTCAAGTAATGGGGTACAAAGATAAAGAATTCAAAAGAAATGATACGGACTTTGAAATTAAATTTCTATAAGATCTAGACATCAAGTTTTAACGTTTGCATCACTAATTCTTGCGTTATTCAAGCTCTTGCTTTCACTGAACAGAACTCAACAGAAACTGGAAATGGTTTAGTGGATAGATCTCATTACATTAAGGACTATATGATAAAAGGTGTAAAGGATTCTGAAAATAAAAGGGTTACATAATGAAGCTTTAGTCGTGTATAAACTACAGTACATACTATGTCTAGCAAAATATGGTTTTCCACATTTGCAACGGGTGCTTGAAATCTCCTCATTTTAAAAGAAGGTTGGTGAATGGTATTTTGAGAGAGAGACACAGAAATTACCACCAGAGGTAGCTCCAGAATCACTCATTTCCGGCAAAAATGCATCAGCAGGTAAGCGATTAACGGCATGATGAAAATCACGGAGACTAAAGTTTCCTCTCGGACAGTAGGCAATCTTCAGCTATCGTTATTCAAAATTGAATATCAAGAAACATCTCCTCCAATTCAATAAAGCCCAAATATCACTAGTTTGCATCTTCACATAACAATTCTAGTTTAATCACCTTAGGAAACCGAGTTTGCTTGTTAACGAATCACAGTGGAAGTTAAAGAAAGAAACGAAACCATAAGAATGAATAAGACGGACAAAGAAGTGGAGTTTCAAGCGGATGCATCGGAGTTCACCTCATCGGAAGACGAAATTCTGTTCTTCTGGAGGTAACACAGTCCGATTTGGTCTATAAGGACTTCCGAATGCTTCTCTCTGCCGGCTCGTGCGGGCGAGATGGCGTAGAGATTTGCGAGCTGCAATAAGCACTGAATCGAGAAAACGAAGAGATTCAACAGATTATAATAAAAGAAAGAATGGCGAAACGGGAGGATTGGAGAAGACCGATAAAGAGTGAAAAGAAAAAGATTACGTGTTTTAGCTCTCTGAGTAATGAAGGACATAAACTTCGAAGATCGAGCATGAAACACAGAAGAACCATTGCTGCTTCTGCTTCTGCTCCAGCTCCACCTCCCCAAGTTTTGAACGAGTACGAATATTCTCGTCCAACCTCGAAAAGACTCTTATTAAACGATCGTAGCTGATTAGCCTGATTACAAAAATAAATAGGGTAAATTACAAAAACACCCCATACTATGGGATCTGTGACAAAGATCGCATGTACTTTGTTTTGCGACAAAAACCCCCTATGCTATACTATGATCGTGAGAGACCCCTTTGGTTAGCATTCGTTGAAACTCGCTGTTGCAATATTTTTTAATTCCCATACTACTGTTATAATAATTATTCAGAGAAAAACATTATTCATCTTCACCGATTTCACGATACACAAACATTAGCGGCGGTAGCTGAACTTCCGAAATCCTCCCTATCTCTCCCTCGATCTCTCTTCTTCCCCGTTCCTTGCAGATGGAGAGAGAAAGAGAGAGTGTGTATAATTTGGACGTTGTTAACCTGTTAACTATTTTATCTCGGCTCCAAGGTAAGATAGACTTTCTCATGGTATTAATAGCTCTTGGCATCCCATAGGATTTTATTCATCCAATTATCATTGCAATCACAGGTAACAATGTGGACAAAAGTGACAATGGTCCATCAACTCCAGATAGAGAATGACTTATTCAAATTCTTAATAAGATTAACGCTTTTCCCTTCTCTGGAAATTCTGCTTCAAGATTGCCTATACCTTGTAGTTTTGACTTGAATGTTTCACAAGAAGCTTCTTCAGACAGCCTGAATAAAACAAATGGAAATCCACCTGTTCCCTCTACCCTGGACTTGCTTGCTATTCTATCGGTTGCTTTGGTAGAAGCTACACCTGATGCGATTGTACTTCTTTCTCAAAGAAATAGCAAAAGTTGTGATGATGATAAAAGTAAGTTGAACTCCCTTGACCGAGTTGGTGGTTTTCATTTATAGAAGAAGCCAATTTCTGGGTGCCCTTCAATTGGAGGAGAGAGAAGTAATAGTACCTCTCAATCTCCAGCAGAGACTCTAGATTGCCAGATTCACATATCTAGACCAAGCTTACCATTTCAACTATTTAGTTCCTCTCTTGCGGGTGGCAACCTACCTAAATTGGGATCTTCTAGGAGATATTTCTCCTAAGACCGCAGTAATCCATTGGAAGAGAGGTCTCCTTCATCCTCTCCCATTGTGTAGAAACTATTCCCACTGCATTCTGAAGTAAAAATTTTGAAACATGAGAGAATGTCCATGAGTGGAGAGGATAATGCAACAATTGAGACCGGCACAACTTGTGGTTGGAAATCACCTTTGGAACTCTCTAAAGGGCCAAATGGTAGGCTCTAGAGTGGTTTAGCTCAAAACCTACAATATCAAGGAGGATACACTTCCTCATCCGGCTCAAATCATTCACCTGCAAGGAATGGAAAATAGAGGAAATCGGGAAGAAGAAAGGGGAAGGGGAAGAAGAGAAAGAGAGAGAGAGGACTTCGGAAGTTTGCCACCGCCACTGCTGTTTGTATATTGTGAGGTCAGGGAAGATGAATAGCAATTTTCTCCAGATAGTTATTATAAGGGTAATATAGGAATTAAAAAAAATATTGCAATGGCAGAAAAGCTAACAAAAGGGTTTGTCTCACGATCATAATACAGGGGGGTCTTTGTCGCAAAACAAAGTATAGGGGAGTCTTTGTCACAGACCCCATAGTACAGGGGGTCTTTGTAATTTACCCAAAAAATAAATAAATAAACGATCATAGCTCAGAGACCCTTTGGCGGGGTTCAGATCTGCTACCCACGAGTTGTTCTCACATCTCTACTCACAGTCATAAGAGATTACAGTTGCACATTAAGAATATCTTCTTTTCAGCAATGCTGTTCCGTTGGTATGGAAGTGGCAACGCACCTTAGAACAGGATCTGCTCCTCACACATGGGTGCCTCACAGGCACATCTATCGTGCATTGGGAATATCTCCCATGAATGATAACTTATAAGTATGGGAGATGTTCCCAATGTATGATAGGATGTGCGTGTGAGATCGGTGTGAGCAGCCCTTTATGAGAGCAGATCCGGTCTCACATGCCTCTAGATCTCCTACGCCTTTCCTACCGTGCATTGAATGATAAGTGATAATATCTCCTGATTTTACTCTACTTCGAATTCGCATTGGCTCCCCACACCTCATTTCCACTGTGCATTGAAAACATCTACCGTTCCCGGCTTCCCGCATTTTCACTTTCATTCGGCCTGTGACGGACAGGTGTCCAAAAGACTTTTTAAATGAGACTTGTTACTTGTTAGACTTTGAACTTTGAACTATATCCCCTTGCATTGTGGATCTCAGAACTCAACCGTTTTGTCTTAGGGTTCTTAACTGTGTATTGGGTTGAAACCTGAAAGCGCCAGGTTGAACCGTTAATCGATCAGTAAAAACTTAAAAGGATTAAGCATCAACCTAATCGGTCTAACCGCACAAACCATCAACTCGGCTTTGGAGTTTGGACAGAACACAGTAGGATAGAGGCATGACTCGACAAGCGACAGAAAAATGACTCCTTTGTCAGAGTGCAATTGCAAGAACACTGATGTAGCCAAACCAAGGTTTTGCTGTGTTGAGCTATGAGCTATCTGTACTTGAGAGCTTGACAATTGTATGGTTCATTTACCGGTACAGGCATACCCAATAGTTCATTGAGCTAACAAACACAGGTTTATCATTTATGTAGTTGAGGTCATTACAACTTGGGCTCAGTTTGGAAGGAGTACAAATATATAAATATGTACAGTGCAAAAACAATCATTACAAGGTGATGATAAGTTCACCCCCGAGTTAACAAAAACAGGTTTATGTAGTTCTACTACTTTCAGGTTGCCGATCATGCCTTTGTAAGGTGAGGCCCACCTGAACTGAAAATACTATAAGTAATGTTTGATGAAAAAAAAAAATCGTTCAGTCACCTACACTTATTGCATGTCTTTCCATTGAAGCTTCGTTTAGCGGCTTATTCAAAGCAGCTCAGCTCAAGCATTAAGCCTTCCCACGCAGGACATTATGAGCTCAGCTGCAAGAGTAGCCAATTAAGCCCTATTTTATCTATATCTTGATTACCGAATGTCAGGATTAACAAATTAAGTTGGCAAAATCCCTGAGCTCCACCCCACTATTATCACGTACCACAAAACCAAAAGGAGCTGAGCCAACCTTAATATAGCCACCATCTACGTTTGCCTCTCTTTACCACCCCATCCTGAGTGGAGGCCAAAAAAAAAAGAAGTGACACCTACTCGATTAGTAGTGGACTGCTCATTGGAGATAAACATAAATGCCAAGTGAAGGTCCTTCATATGCATTTTAACACAAGAGATCACCATACAACGATTGGGGTCAGCATTCTTAAAATCACTTCAGCTTTTCCAAATCACCTAATGCATGCATGTCCAAAATATTGAAATCATCAAGCACAACAGAAATGCTATCAAAGTATCAATAATATTCAATATTTTAAAAACCAATCCAAAATCGGAACCGTTTTGGCCACGATTTTCGGGTTGATAGTTCAACCATCCGGTTTGAATGGACAGCCCGTTCTAACAAAAAAACTAAAAAATTAAAAAATAATTAAAATAAAAAATGGCCAAAACCAATAAACAGGTCAACAGTTTGACCACCCAGGTCAATGGGTTGTTGACCAACTCAACAATTTTTAGCCAGGAACCGGGTTTGGGATAAAACAGAACCAGTTGCCTGGATGGCTCCTGATCCAAACGGTCCAACTGGACAGTGATTCAAAAACATTGGCTATATATTCCTCCACTATAAGCTGAAAGGAATGCGGCAATAGCCCAATAGTGCTACCAAACCAAAAACTTTGTTGTGTGACTGCATAAGAGAATGTGAATGATTGTCTCAGATTCTAACCCACAAATAGGACAGCACTCATCTGAACCCCCTCCTCCAAGGAGATTGTGTTGTTTGGCAGAAAGCTGTTAAGGCAACACCAACAAATAAAAGACTTGATTTTTGGTTCAACCCCCATAGACCTAGTGACCCCCTTGTTGCTTCTTATAACTCATTTACAGGGTTTTCATTTTTTTTATGATTTATTCATTAATTTTGCAATGAGCAGATTTCACAGGAAAAAGAAAAAAAAAAATCTTAGGACCCAACATAATTTGTCAATTGTCAGGCTATCTATAAGATGCCATCTCAATCTTTTTAATGCTTTCAATCACATAAACTGGGAAGAAATTTTTTATGACATTAAATCGACAACATAATTTGGAAACAGCCTCTCTGTATGTGCAAGGTTAAGGCTGCTGCATACATCTGTCCCTTCCTGGACCCGCATTGGTGGGAGCCTTGTGCGCTGAACTGCCCTTTTTATTCCATCTCCAACACCTATTGACTGGGCCAATGAGATCCTCTACCCACCTAACCTCATTTTGATTTGGTCTTGGCCCAATTAGGAGGATCCTCGGCTCCCAAATATGAAGAATTTTAATGAAAAAGTTTTGCACATACGATAGAACTCTTCTGTAACATTATTGGTGAGTTATTACATAGCGAGGCTGGAGGAGAAACAAATAATGATTGAATTTTATCTCCTTGAGAAATGAGATATAGGATAAAATTTATTTATCTTTTTTAGTTATGCAATAAAAATTATTAATTTGGAATAAACTGGACCAGTAACACTGATTATCTTATAAATGTTGAAAGGGGACTATACCTCTGCACATTAGGCAAGTTTTTTTTCATGGGATAACCAAGTCCAATGGCAGAAAAACAGAAACACTTCAGTACAAACCACCAAACATGCTAAGTTAAACATAAAGGCAAAATACAATCAGGGGATTCACTAAGCTACTCCACCCCTCAGCGTGGTTATCCCATGAAGCTGTGGTAAACAAAGAAAATTTTAAATGCACGTATGCGTGCGTGCGCGTGTCTTCATGCTTGTGATCATATCAATCCCTTGACATTGCAATAGCAGACCAATGACTGAACTAGCAAGAAGAGGTTACTTGGTCTACATAGATACGAAAGAGAAAGCCAAAGATATGGGCTGGACTCTGATTTATAGTAAGGAATAATTACTTTTCATTCTGGGTTTCTGCTATGTGGGCCCTCACTTTGCTGCTGAAAAAAAAAGCCCATGGTGAACTGGACACTTTTGGTTGGCAAGGAAGAGTATACAGATTAGCAGGCGAGCAAGAGAAAGCCAAAGACATGGGATGAAGTCTGATGTAGTAAGGAATAATTACTTTTCTCTCTGGCTTCCTGCTATTTGGGCCCTCACTTTGCTGCTGAACAAAAAAGCCCATAATGAACTGGACCTTTTTTGGTTGGCGGGGACAGACCTACAGATTAGCAGGCAAACAAGATATCAAGTTATCAGGAACCTGATCTACTTACAAGTTTCAAGCAACCGTAAAAGAAACAATCCAACTGTTATCTTCCTGGTCCACTTTCAGTACAACATGACACTACTGATGAAGATCCAAGTTCCAAACACTATTGGAAGTCCTTTTCACCCCATACTTCACATACTTTAGAAAATCAGTAGAGTAACAACAGATGCCACTTTACCACTTAAACCAATTTCAGTGTAAGCTCATACAATCACCTATAGAGAGTAAGAATGAATTATACCTGTAGAGAGCAATAAAGATATAAACTGTTTGAAATCATCCTACCACGAAATCATGACGATGATTCATCATTTGTATTGCCAAATGCTGGTAAAAGTACAGTTTGAAAGTGTTAGCTCCAGGAGTAATTAGGAGTTCGTAAATATAATGGCAAGATCATCCCATCAGATGAATTATTCAAATTTCAAATACCAGGCAGACACTTGTTTGCTTTTCCTCACCAGAAATTGTTAGAGGAGAATGCCCCTTTTCTCAAATGATGGAAACAAACCCTATCTCTAACAAAAATGCTGTACTGTACATCCTCGATATAAACTTTATCATAGAGTGGCAATCATGGCACATGCACAGATTTTTCACAACTGTGAGTGTACTTCTTGGAATACAATTGCCGACTTCTCACTATTACCAGAGAGGGCATATTCCCTTTCCTCTTTTTCAATGTCATGGAAAACCTCTTTTATCCCAGGTATGTGGCCCATATCCTTTAACTTCATTGCTATGTCATCTAACAGTTGATAGATATCCTTCGATAGCAATCTGTCCCCCTGAACAAATTCACATACTACCCCACCAACTTCAATAGAACTAAACCCATGAATCTTCTTGACTCCAGAACACCTCAGCATCTTCCTTACCTTTTCAGCATCATCCCACCTATTTTCTGCAGCATAAATATTTGAGAGGAGAATATAATTGCTACTATTTTGAGGTTCCAAGTCCAATAGGTGCTTCGCAGCCCTTTCTCCAAGTTCCACATTACCTGCTACCCTACAGGCACTAACCAAAGCGCCCCAAATAACTGCATTGGGTTCAATTGGCATGGTGTTAACTAGCTCTTCGGCCCTTTCTATGAGACCAGCCCGGCCAAGAAGATCAACCATGCAACCATAGTGTTCGATCCTGGGTGCAATGCCATATTGATTAATCATGCTATCAAAATAAAACTGTCCCTCTTTCACCAAACCCATGTGGCTACAAGCCATTAAAATGCCCACAAAGGTGATTTCATTTGGTTCGAACCCTTCATCCTGCATGTCAGAGAACATTTCCAAGGCATGACATCCAAGACCATGGACTGCAAGCCCTTCGATCATAGTATTCCAACAATAAATGTCTTTTTGGGGCATGAGATCAAATACCTTCATAGAACTCTCAATGTTTCCGCACTTTGAATACATATCTATGAGAGTAGTCCCTATATATACATCAAGATAGATACCGTTCTTTTCTATGTATTCGTGTATGCTCATTCCTATTCTAATAGCACCCAGATGAGCACAAGAAGAAAGTGCACTCACCAACGTGATACAATTAGGCTTACTATCCGACAGTCTCATCTGACTGAACACATTGAGGGCCTCCCTGTATTCCCCTATATGGGCATAACCACTGATCATGGAAGTCCAACATGCCACATTCTTACCTGAAAATTCAACAAACAACTCTCTTGCAGCAGCAATCTCACCCCACCTAATAAACCCTACAATCATCGCATTCCAGCACACAGCATCCCTTTCAAATGGCATTGCTTTGAATAGCCTAAACGCCTCTGTCACATCCCCAGACTCCGATGCATAAGCATCAATCATAGCCGTCCAAGCCACCGCATCTCTACCCCATTGGTACATTTCATCAAACACCAGGCGTGCAGAGACAACGCCACCGCACTGCGCATAAAATCTAAGTAACTGGGTCTGTACACAAAGGTTCGACCCAAACCCAGTTTTGAGCACATGGACATGAACTTGAAGGCCCTCGATCATAGCCGAGAGCTCCCTACAGACATCAAAAAGGGGAGGGAAACTGTAGCAATCAGGTCGAAAGCCTAGACAGCAGAAACGACGGTAGGAAAAAATAGCTTGGAGAGGGTTGTCGCTCTTTGAGTAGGCTTTGAGAAGTGAGTTCCAAAGGAAGACATTGGGGCGATGAACTTCGCTGAAGATGGATGACGCGTAGGCAACACTTTCCGAAAGGGAGGAGCAAAGCCCGAGCAGCTTTGCGACTAGGGTGAAGCTTTGAGCGAGACCATTTACGATGACGAGGGCGTGGGCACAGCGTAAAGCAGCCGTGTCGGAGCATTGGTGTAGTAGTAGCATGAGTTTCTGCACCTTGGAGGAAGAAGACGAAAGCATGAGAAGCAGGAGTTTCCATGACTTCACCGTGGGCTGATTGGGAGCTGATTGGGAGAATGACCAATCAGCCCATATCAGAATTTTATAGCTCCAAAGTACAGGGCGAATGCATCTGACCGTGAATTGATGTCAAATTCACGGGCAGGATGTGGTTTATAAGAGAGAAAAGGCTAGGAATAGGGGGCTGGAATTCAGAATTCTGCATCGTATTTATCCATACTTGTCCGCTTCTTTTTATTAGCTCTGACCTCTGAGCCTGACCGTGGTTTTGGCTAATCTGATTTGATGCGAAGCGACAAAGACCGTTAGAAATATGAAATAGCTGGACTTTATTCCCACGTGTTTAATTTGTGACAAAGACCCTTTGAAATAAAATACTTAATGATTCCTTTTAATTTTTACATCGTGACAAAGGTTTAAAATATCATAAACGTAAGGTGTATAGATAATTTTAAGAGATATATCAGGATACATTTTGGATATGTATAGATACAAACGAAAAATTAAGATAAATATCTTAAAAATATAAATAAATCCTAAAAAAATATATTAATATCGATAGTTACAAATTTTACATGATTGTAAATAAGTTAAAAGCAAAATAATTATAATTTAATGATCTATATAAAATTTGAGATATTGAAACACTTAGTAATTATTGACAAATGATGGAATAACTAAAACGTGAAAAAACAAAAAATAAACTAAAATGTAAATTGATATACATTAGTTTTAAAATAATTAATATAATTTATCTTAATATTTATTAATACATAAATTTTAATAATTAATTCTAACATTTATTGATAAGCATATATTAAGAAAACGAGAAAATTTACTTAAAAATAAAAATACATAAACCTATAGCAAGCAAGTGGATGTGGCTTAGTGGTGAACCTCTAATTCTAAAGCCTAATAGCTAGGGTTCAAATCTTGCTATTGTTAATTTGTAGTTTTATACTAACAAACAAATTTAATGAAAAAGATGGTTATTAATTAACTAAATTAATGAGAAGAGAATTCCAATTAAGTGCTAAAATTGAAATTCTGACTTATACCGGAAAGACGTATCATGTATTTTGGGTGTAGTGTCACTTTGGTGTCCGAACTTTAAAATGCGATTTTTCCCTTATCAAAAATACCCCACTAAACTTTCTTGCCATTTTCTCTTAAAACCTAAATGACCCAAAAATATCTTACCGAAAAAGAAAAAAAAAATCTAATTTTCTGTAGTGAGAAATCTTCGACAGTGAGAAATTTGTTTTTGTCACCAATAACCGCCCAAAAAAAGAAAAATCTCCACCAGTGATTTTGGGTGTAGTGTCACTTTGGTGCCCGAACTTTAAAATGCCATTTTTCCCTTATCAAAATACCCCACTAAACTTTCTTGCCATTTTCTCTTAAAACCTAAATGGCCCAAAAATATCTTAACGAAAAAGAAAAAAAAAATCTAATTTTCTAGTGAGAAATCTCCGACAGTGAGAAATTTGTTTTTGTCACCAATAACCGTCGCCCAAAAAAAGGAAAATCTCCACCAGTGAGAACCAACTTCTGTGTTTTTTGGCAACAGAGTGCCTCCAGATCGAGACGAACACAGCTGCCCTCAATTTCCTTTTGGAACTTGAGAAACAACTCCCATGGGGGTTATTATAGGCCATATAAACAAACTGCATTTAGTGACTTTGTGACTGTTAATTTTTCAGGGAGCAACCTTTCTGATGATGAGTTCACCATCAAAAGTTCTATGCTGTTCTAAAGCATCTGAATTATTCATTGCCACACCTGTTCGTTCCCTATAATGGCACCTTTGACTCCATGGTTCAGCAAATTGAGATCCATGTGAGAAAACCGTTGATATCCATTTCTTACCATAAAAACCAGTCTTCTACAATCTCTGCATTCCGATTTACCATTTCTTACTATAAATCAAGACCTTCGACGCAGTAGTTGCTGATACAGCCATTGTGGCCAATCGTTGTAAATATGGAGATTTCTCACAGCCCTATGTCAATCTGGGTGTTCAGATGGTTGTTTTTACAGCTTGGTTGTTCATGAAGCCATTCATGGCGCTCATGTGGGTTTAACAATGGACTTGTTGTTTGGTTGATAGAACCGAAGCACCACCCTGATTTCAATGGCTCTGTGTTGAACCAGTTTGGATTTTGGAACACTAGTTAACCTCTCCTTCACAACATTATTCTCATTCTATGGTAAGGAAAAGTGATATTGTTTTCAAGTCTTTTTGTCTTGATACTGTCCTCGCTTCAGATTGAACGAAGGAATGAAAGATAGTATAAGGTTCAGAGAAACACACTAGCTCTGAAATTTACTTTTCAAGAACACTCACACCAGGGAAGGTACAAAATCCTCTAATCTCTTCAATTTCTTCTTTTCTTCCTGTTATTTTTTCTTCCATGTTCTTTTTCTTTTTAATTGATGATCTGAGATATGTGAATGGTGTTTCAAAAAAAAAATAAAATCCAAGATACTCTGCCAGAAAAATACGAAATCGTCACAGATAATGAACTAATCCTCCACCTATTTCTGATTTGGGTTAGTATATCTTTGATTTCTGCTTTGTTTCTCATGAGAATTTTGATTTGTGTTGTCAGACTTTCGTTTCAGATGAAATAAATGAACCCAACTTGTGCAACTCTTTCATTCTTCCCTTGATCTAGAATTCTTTCCTGAAAATTCATCATGGCCGGACGAGGAAAGTCTCTTGGAGTTGGAGCGTCGAAGAAGGCAGAACCGAGAAGCAGCTAGGCCGGTCTAAAATTTTCGGTTGGTAGGATCACTAGGCTTCCGAAAGCCTGCAAGTACACAGAGAGAATTGGTGTTGGTGCTCCTATGTATCTCGCTGCTGTTCTAGAATATCTTGCAGCCGAGGTTCGTTTTTTCCTACACGATTCCCTCCCTCTAGTTTTCACCGTAATTTTGTTTGAAGGATTGAATAAATACACCAATTGGCTAGAAACGCAACAATGGATAATAAGAAGACAAGGAGGCATATTCAGTCGGTGGTGAGAAACGAAGAACTTAACAACTTGTTGGGTGTCGTTAAGATTGCAAGTGGTGGTCGTTACAATCGCAAATGATGAAGTACTTAGCAAGTTCCTCGTCCGATCCCTTTTCCTCTATTCAGATTCTTGGTTTCTTGCTTTTCTCTATTTGTATTTTAGCGTAATCATTGGTATCCATGGCATTTTGGTCGAGATATCTTCTCACCGTTCAAAAGGGTAATTTAGAAATTTAAAAAATAAAATTTATTTTTGAAAATAACTTACAAACGGCTAACAGGAGGGGTCTTTGTCGCAAATTAAAGTATAGGGGGCTCTTTATCATTGACCCATAGTACGGGTGGTCTTTCTAATTTACCCATTTTTATAAAAACAAAAGGTGCTTCACAGGCAGGAGTAGCAGTCATAGTTATTTTCGGGCCTTTAAAACTAGTGTAATGCGGCCCACACATTGAATCAGTTGTTCATTGAGACAATTAGGTCTGACTTTTGACCCACTTAGATTAGATTATACTAATCAAGAGTTCTCCCCCTATCCTCTTCTCGCCTATAATGGGCGAGTTTCTCTCTCGCCCTTCTTAGTTTTTTTTTTTTATTTTTTTTTTTTTGGGGGGGTGGGGGAGTCTGAAATTACAGCCCTATAAACCACATCCTGTCTATGGATTGATGCCAAATCCACGGGCTGGATTCATTCCACCCCTAGGGTGGAGCTAAGATTTCTAGGGCTAAGATTCATTCCACCCCTTTGGCATCTCTCTTTTGATTGAGATGATGGCGTAGGACTATTATTCGATCCTTTGTATCTTTCATTTGGTTTAGAGGGTGGAACAAGACTATTATTTGACTCCTAGTGCTTTTGTTAACCGAAATCCTACTATGCATATTGGATTCAATAGGGGATTGGAATGAAAAGGGCTATGAATATAGTGTGGAGGTTTCAACTTAGATCGGGCATTAAGGGGTTTAGTGTCGATACCTTTCTTATCTGATTTGATTTTTGTGCCGCATGTGTTCCAATTCCAAATACCCGTTTTGGTCATGGGATACCCTCTATAGGGTTTGGTAGTGCCGCTAGATTTTTTTAATGCCATCCTGCCATCTCATTTTATCTTGGTACTCGCCTAAGAATTCATATATGCTTGTGGGGCTTCATGATGTGGATTTCAGTGCCAGAGTTCATGGTTTTTCTGGCAAACCAATGCATTCAGTTGTCTCGTTTGTTGGCAGCGTGGTTGAGGGCGAATTTTCCAGATCCAAAATGGACGCTATGGGATTCACCATACAAAATGTGGAAGTGGCATCCATTTTGGACGGTCAACTGTTTCAATATGGGTGCCTTTAAAGGATTGTTTTGTGCTCCCCTATACTATGCCTTATGTTTGGGTGTGGAAGCTTTGTAGTGGGATGAGTTGATGATTGATTGGGGTGTTTTGTTATGGATGTTTTATAGCAAACTTAAAGGGGTTTTATTTGTATATTTCATACGTTGTCTCATGGAGAAACCCTTGGCCTCCCCTAAAACTATGCCATTTCTGTTATTATCTTTATATTGCCAAGGTTGGGATGGTTTTGGCAATCCTACTCCTTTTAATCTTGATTTATGGGGATTGGTAGGGAGACTTTCTCATTTCAACTTTCTCTGTTAGAGGCAGATACCCTCCTTTTAATTGGCGTTCTCCACTTGTTGACGTCGTGCACAAATGGTTGTTTATGAGTTTTCTCTCCCGATGCTCAATATCTGTTTCTTCAACATTTTGTTTGCTACTTAATAATATCACAGTTATCCAGTCACAGATGGACAACAACTTTGTTTGGAGAAAACTAGTCCTATCCACAACAATTCTGCCCACACCTACCCACATAATATCACAGTTATCCAGTCACAGATGGACAACATTTCATCCTCTTACATGTTATTATGCACAGGAGATGTTCCCAATGCACCGAGGTAGTATTTGTGGGTAAAGTTTTTGTGGATAGGATATCCAAAGTCATAAAGAACAGCCAAAGTTTTAGGAGCCTCTACACGTTACACCTTAACTAAATCAGATCCTCATTTGTCTTTTTAACTAAAAAATTATTGAGTGTAAATATTACTTTACACACACTCATTATGAGATGTCATTCACATTAGGCTTCCAAAATAGCCAAAAATTTTCACATTTTAGTGCGCACTATGCTAAGGCACCTATGGAAATGTGCTAAAATAGGCTAATGATGAAAATGGTGGGAAGTGTATTGGGTACATCTCCCAATGATGACACCATCATTCCTGGTATTATCATGGGGAGATGTTCCCAATAAACGATGGGAATGTGCTGTAGGACGTTGTGGGGGACTGATTTGAATTCACGGTTGATTGGTTAGTGATTTTCATGAGAGTTTTTTGCGTATTATGGTAAATTACAGAAATGCCCATGCTTTCACGTGCAAAACAAGCATACATGTTCGTGGTTAATTTACAAAGGACGTTGCGAGAATTATGAGGATGAGAAATTCTCATCCTTGGAAGTGAAAAAATATCACTTCGGAGAAACTCGCCTTTGGATAAGAATTTCCATCAAAAAATAGATCGATTCTTTGGAGTAGGCAAACCCAAACACAATTCTACTAAAAAAAATTGTGAAAATTGCTAGAAGTAATTCTCCTGAGTGACGCCAAAGAGGGCCTATATTTTCCATCGAAACAACTGGAAGTAGCATGAATCCCACTACTTTACACATCTCTTGTGTTTGTTTTGCTCTTGGAAGTCAAATAATAAAACATAAAATACAATGGAGTTTTTAAAATCTTTATTCAATCTTTTTTTTTTCTGTTTATATCCTAATACAAATACATCCAAAGAAGAAAGAAGAATAAGAAGTAAGTGGTTGTTTAATGGGAAACTGTTAGATATCAAGTCTTTAACCAATGCACCCTTCGTAAGACCCAATATAATTAGAACCATTAATGAGTTTGAGTACATATAGCATTTATTCAGCTTATTAAGAGAATGTCCCATTGCACAAGAGGTAGGACAAATATGCATTGCAAGCAAGGTTATTTGCAATCAAATGCATTTATTTTGGTGAAAAACTTGAATTACTTTCACAAGTACTGAATCTAATTCTTTGGCCCCATTCTTTTTTAGGAAGCCATTTACCTAGGTAAATGTATTTACTTGTGTTTTTTTGATTAAAAAGTCCTTTCCAAGTAAATGTCCTTTTGACCATTTTACCCATTGAATGCAATTATTACAATGGACAACTTTGTCCCATGGCGTTTTGATAATTTCCCTAGGTGGTAAAGCTAATTAGTTACCCATCAAGGAGATAGGTATCACCTACTCGATTAAGTGATATTCGGGCCTTGTTCACATCTTAGTAAGTCATTTATATGGGTAAAATGCATTTATTCGGGAAAGTGTTTCTTGGGAAACACTTACCCGGATAAGTGCACTTACCAGTGTTATTTTATTCCCTAAGTAAAATTGTACAATGACCAATTTATCCAAAAAAAATGATACTATTGAAAGGACGATATTACCCCATCATGAATTAGCAATTTTCAGCATGGATGGATGAGTGATTTACCTAAGTCTCATGAGGGTATTAATTGCACAAATAAATAAAATGATCAAGAATCATTCTTTTTCATGGGATCCACTAATACCGAAATATGAAGGTTTATTTCTTTTCTGTGAGACCCACCAACTTAACCCCCGCCCCCCCTTCTTCCTAAAAAACGAATAAGGCCTTAGGGGAAAGCAACTTACCATGGGACCCATAGGCCCATGGTTAATTGAAAAGTGAATTTGAGATTATTGATCAACAGGAACCACTTTTCTATTAACCAGCTTTCCCCCTTTGCTTTACCAAGAAATGAATGGGGCTTTAGTTTCCACTCTACCCATTTCAATTTTGTAACATGATCAATTAGTTTTCTTAGATAAATCAAGTAAAATTACTATCAATCACTAAGTTGCAGATGTAACTAGCCTTACAATATAATATGTATGCTATATAATAAATATAATCACTTAGTTGGGATGATTTTCCTAAATATCCAAGGCAACCCCTTGGGTAAACAAATTGCTTAAATGGTTTTTGTGAATTTATTTTTAGATCATGGGTGATTGAATGCTTATATATTATTTAAATCTATTTATTATTTAATTTAAATAGATTAACCCTATTAATTCAGTTTATATGTATCATTTAGTGTAGAATTAAATAGGCTATCACGACCGTATGGACCTGAATTGGCAACTGAAAATAGCCTATTTAAATAAACGAGTTATGTGAGCCACATCTTGTTACCCGTACAATAAACCAGCCACATTCATGTTTGAAAATTTAATATCATCAATTAGTCGAGTCGTGTCGTGTTCGTATTGATGTATGTATCTAAATACCCCTTCCTCAACACGGCATAAGCACTACACAAGAATAAGAATTGCCATACCCATTGGTAATATGAAGTTGGAATGTTGGATGTAAAGTGCGAGGAAAACAGATTCCCAAGGAACTAGTAAATGAAGAATAGTTTTTGATCAAATAGTTATTATCTATTAGTGGGCAGACCAATACAGGTTTTTTGGCCATTGCTAATACAAGTGGTCTGGGCTTGTCATTGGTTTTTATGTATGTACCGATTAGGATTGGGTCAGGTTGCTTAACCCAGCCCAGCCCAGCCCATAATTGCCAGTATTGCCTTGAATGTCTTGATTCTAGCTAAGGAGCGCATAAAGTCATAGATAGCCTTGAATGTCTTGATTCTTTGATTCAGACAAGAGAGAAAAAGAGTTAAGTAATGAGGTAAACTTTACTTCCTCTAAGGCAATAAAATAAGTGCTAAGGATATGGCGGATGGTGTTATAGTTGACTTTGATATGGGGATCGAAATAAAATCCCAATTTGGAAAGACCAAGACAATATATATATATATAAATGGCAAGATATGAAATAATAAGTATTATAAAAAATCAAATTTAAGAACTAATAAATGGTATGGCCACACAAAGGAAGGGGATGGGTAGATGGGTAAAAACAAAAAATATCGTACGGACGGAAATCGATGAGTGGGCAACTGCCATACTCAATGGACAGACGGGCTTTGATAAGTTGGTTGGTTGGTCGGACCCCCATCCCATTTCTGCTCAAATCGTGACGTTAATGTTATTCTCTTTGAAGTAGTTTAATAAAACACCACTTTGTTTCACAACCAGCGGGAAAATAAATGGTACTTAAGCACCTCACCTTTGCAAGAATCTGACAAGACTTGGCTGGCTGTTGTACAGTACTGAAACATTTTGTTTTGAAAAGAGTACAAAGATATATGATATATTGAGGCATATTTCTTTCTTAATGTTAAAACCTTGAGGCTGCGTTTCGTACAAAGTTGTGAAATTTTCTTAAATTATTTCCTTCTCACCAAATTATTATCTGTTAAACCAAGCTGCCATCATTGACGAGGATAAGGGATAAAATCATCTGGCCCGAGATCATCAATTGGTGGGCGCTGTTTATGGTGGTCAGTTACAGATTGGTATGCCATGGCTAATGCAAGAACCTGCATAAATGAAAGCACCATCAGTTAGTCTTCATTTCGGGGGAGGAGGTAAAAGTGCAAAACAAGAAGAACAAGAAAGAAGAGAACCGTCAAGGGGAGCTTCTGCTTAACGTATAAAAAGTCGGTTTAGTGTAGAGCCCAACTAACACGGACCGGAGAAGTGCTACTTCTAAAAGACTATTAGAGTTGGGAATGACTACTTTTAGTTAGGAGTGGATACTGGATAACGTACAGGAGCACAAATTGAATTAATTGGTTTTTCACTTGTATGATATGACACAAAGTACTTATAGGCTTGGAACTGGGAAGATGCCATTGCCACTTTGCCAGCTTTAGTTTGTAATGTCCATCTTTATATTTTGAACCTCCTTTGAAATTCATCAACTAAATTCTTTATAATTTCTACATCAAATGTTATTGTCTCATCACTTCACTTCTATTAATTTTAGATCGATACCCAACCCAACCCTGCAAGGGTCAAATACAATTGGAAGGAGTACAAACAAGGTTTACAGTATCGGTCGATACACATCGTATGGGAAGCACCCAGGTTTTGACCAGTTCAAGGGGGTGGAAAAGCCTTAAACCCCCCCCCCCCCCCCTAATTGGTTATGAAAAAAAAAATAAAAAAAAAGGACCAATACGCCAACGTATTGATATTTATAACCTTGAGTACAGATACAAATATATACAACACAAATGTATAATATAAGGTTTTGCGCTTTACATATTTGACACGCTTTATTTGAATATTATTTTTAAAAAATTAACCTATTTTTAAAATTTTACTAAAAATGATATGAAGACGCCCTTATCTGCTATAATCCCTAAAAAAAACGTCTTCATAGTTAACTACTTTCCCGAAGCCATAGAAATGAACAATACCATGGAGCAAGTGGAGCTGCATGTATCTCAACCTCCACGTGGAACTACGAAGCATATGCCTGAATTGGAATTGGAAGCTGCACACTATGAACACATGGCCATCCCGAATGTTCCCATCTAAAAAAAACCTGGCACCATTGGACAACCCAAAACAAATGGTGGACCACATGGGCCAGGTGAACCCCACGTGGACACATCCCACTAATCATCAGGCTTGGTTCCTAATTGAGCAGTTCCAGAAGCCTTTTACAGATCAGGTACTTTCCATTCTTGCATCTTTATCTTTTGTTATAACTCTCTTTACACTGTCACATGCATTTCTTACATCCATGATCATCTCATGGAACATCAGAGGAGCAAACAGATCCAAGAAAGTCCAACACTTACAGCACCTTTGCAACAAAGAACGACCAAATAGTCTTTTCCTCTGCGAAACCCAACTCTCCTCTACCAAATCTGTTAACTTAGCTAAACACCTCAATTTCAACCACCAAGTTCACAGTGCAGCGGGTACGGATGATCATGGGCCAAGCCGGGCTTGGCACTTATGATAAGGGTTATAGCTTAGGCCCGGGCCTGACCCAATCCGAGGTTCCGGGCCTGAAACATAAGCCCTAACCTAGGTCTACACAAGCCCGGGCCGGATTGAGCCTGATTTTGGGCCAATGCCTTTTATATATAAAACATTATATATCTATAATATTTTATATTAAATAACATAACATGCATATAAACTTATTTTATATATTATATAATATAAAAAATTACATACAATATAAATTATACATGTCATGTTATAATATTTATATATAAAATATATAATCTAATGTAAAATAACATGTATACATATATACATTATACACAAAATCCGTAAGTTTAAATATATGCGGGCCAGGCTTGAAGTATTAAGCCCAAGCCCAGCCCTAAAATTTACGAGCCTGATGTGGGCCCGGCCTGGACCAGGCCTAAACACAAAACCCAGGCTCAAGCCCGGAATTTCAGGGCCAGACTTGTGCGGGCCAGGCCGGGCCGGACAGAAATGATCACCCCTAGCAGCGGGTCACTCAGGGGGTCTTCTTTGTTGTTGGACTAGCCAAGTCTTTTTACAAGTCCTTCAAACGAGTCATCACTTCATTCTACTTCAAGTAAACAACAACCTCCCACAACAACCATGGCACATACTTTTCTTTTAAGGTCATCCCCAGAGAAACCAAAGAAAAGCAATGTGGGCTCACATCAAAACCGTCATCCAACCAATCCAACTTCCCTGGATTTTAATGGGTCACTTGAATGACCTACTGAGTCAAGACCAACGGAATTTTCGCCAGAAACAACCAAAGCTGTCCAAACACATGGCAGACTTTATCCGATACTTCCACCTAACTGACATGGATTATGTGGGCCCAGGCTACACTTGGACCAACGGTCAATCTGGAACTTCAAAAATTCTAGAGAGATTGGAATAGAGTTTTCGCCACAACTGATTGGTTCCAAATCTTCCCAGAGTCTATTGTTTATCACCTCCCCAAAATTCATTCAGATCATGGACCAATCAAGTTAGCCACAC